AACAAATTTAAATGGAGGGAGTAATATGTAGAGATAATAAAGCTCAGATACCTTGTGAATGCCAGCAACTACGACAAATGGAACAGCATGCTTTTGAGCGGCAAGTGCAACCATATTCATTCCAACAGGTGCAATGACACCACCATTGGCCATCACTGCATGAACTCCCACTATAACCTACAGAACAAGGTTACGGTTCTGAGCACAGGTAGCCGAAGCAGCAGAACAAGGTTACAGATTGGTACTACACATAAAAGAGCCAATCCAGAAAGTTACCATATTTACTCTAGAAATCATTGCAAAAACAGCAGAATCTGTTACAACTATAGTTTGTAGACCTCTTGACACCAACTCTTTTGCAAGAGCATGCCCCTGGTACCTGATCAAGCACAAACAAAGAGGGGATATATTTTAGTTACAATGAAAAAGAAGGTTCATGTTTCATTTATTTCCCGGAAATTAGAGAATACTCCACAAACCTCGGTGCGCCCTCTGCAACAACCACATGAAAAGACCGTTTTTTCTCTTTTGCAGCACAGAGGAATTCAAAGGCAGTTCTCGAACTACCTAGTGTTAGTATTACTTCACTGAAAAAATTGCATTTTTTAATTAGCTATAGCATTTTGATTTGAAAAAATACATTCGCCACAACTATGCAGCTATATGCCCACAAAAGTGAGTGAAAAAGAACAAATAAATAAATTAGAGGTGAAAGTTAAAACAAAAAAAAGCATTTGCATTACAATTATAATCGTAACTATATCACCCCGGAGCAATGTAAAGAAGGACAGCAACTGCAAATTAAGCTACAAGCTTATCTTTGTCATTTTCACAGCAAGGTTGGAACAGTAGATTTGTCATTGATTAACAAAATGTGTTAATTTATCAGATAAAATGTCTATCCATCAAGGGAAGTGGCATTTTCCTCGCACCCAAGCTGTGAGTCCTGAGTAACCTATCACAATTTTTTTGAACTGCAAAGGGAATCCCCTTGAACAACAAACAATGGGGAACAGTGAAATGACAATATCCATTGCATGTGTTCAAATCATGCTACAATGTTACTTGAAATCTGTAGTGTGCATAACAAAATAAAGACATATTTTCCAGTACGTGCGAAAGGTAAATACTTTTGGTGAATATGCTCAACTGCCTGTTCCGCGATCAGCTCATGACAAGTATCAATATCTTCAATTAATATGTTAATTGCCTCAATAACATCATGCTTTAACTTCCGAGTCCTGGCAAGTTTATCAGCTACAGCACAGAATAACAGATAATTCAGTACTGAAACTAAAAAATGACTAGATTGCTTCAAATTCATGTGCACAGGAGCGTTTACCTTTACTTTTCTCTTCAGTATCTCCACCTGAAGAGGAGGTGTAATTGTTAGTCGGTACAGCTTTATCCAACATATTCTCCAGAAGTGCATGCAATGAAGGAGGCCGTAGAAAACTTTTAGCTGCAGCTGCGGCAGCAGACTGAGTTGGGTCATAATCCTGGTCTATGGTTCGTTCATCATCACTTGCAGCTGATAAATCTAAGTCGCTTGTTTTACTGGTCAAAAGAGAAAGATCCTCCTCCCGGATAATATGAAGAACACGCCTAACAATATTTCCAACAGCAAGCTCTGCAATTTCATCAAATTTTGGTCATATCATTCTTGGCATAAACAAATATGATTACTTAATCTAGAGTGCTATCAGAATTCAGAGGTCATTAATTTACTATAAGTTCTCAATGTGAAGTCTGTTGACAATCCTTGCATTGAAATCAATGGGTTCAAGCAGTGAAATTAGTGACGGATGCTTGCATCAAGATAGCTTCCTACACTACACCTTCAGATGTGACATTTCCCGGACCCTGCGTGGACGCAGGATGTTCGTGCACCGAGCCCTTTTACATATATGTACACATCCTTTAGTAAGTGGACTGACAAATAATGAGAAATGGGGTTCATGCCAAAGAAAATGTGCAGAAGGACACCCAACACGCTGGAATAAATCGGAACTAGGGCACCACCTCTCTCTCTTCTCCCCCTCTCCCTATATGTGCATGTGTGCAAATGCTATCATAGCAGATGTATATGTCTTAGCTTTGACAGAGGGAGGAGAGTAACAAGGAAACTTTTATGGCAAGGGAAGAAGAGGCTTCCACCTTGTGAAGTGGAAAACTCTTACCCTCGTTAAAAAGCAAGGAGGAGTAGGTATAAAAAAACTTTGAAAGCAGAACTAAAGTCTGCTCATAAAGAGATTATGGAGATACTCCAACAAAGATCAATCTTTGTAGAAGAAGGTGATCAAATACGGAGATGAAGACCATAGAAGACAAAATCAGTCAACATTGTGTACGGGGTCAGTGTCCAGAAGACTATCAGAAATCTCTGGCAAATTTTCAGCAGCAAGATAAGCACTAAAAATTGGTAATCGGCTTGAAACATCCTTTTGGGAGGACAACTGTATAGGAGATAGCTCTTTCAAACTCTTATATCCGTATGTTTTCATTTTAAATCAACAACAAAGGGTTAACATTAGTGAAGTTTGGAGCAATCAAGGCTGGAACTTCAGTTTCAGGAGACTCCTAAATGATTGGGAGGTAGACGGATTCACTGAATTCCTCAACACACTCAAATCATTTCACTGGGAACTCACAGTTTATATTTTGCTTCACTTTCTCCTTAATTATGGCTTTCACAGCCTTTTTATGATTTTAATACGAAGGTGTTACCAGTTCAACAAAAAAAATGTATAGCACTACATGTTAGCAGAATTCGAGTTCAAAAATGAAACAAACAAATGGAGCGGCAGCTGCAGTTAATGACTTACACTAAACCATAGATCAAATAAGTCCTACTCCTACACATGACTAGTAAACAAAGTTAACACAACTAGTTAATCAGATATATCCAAATTTTTCTATATTTCGAGCAAGTGAAGCAACTGGTATCAAACTAGACACGAAGCAAATATATCATTGAATTCATTTGGAACACAAGAAGATTGCATAACAGAGACAAATGTCCTGTCCCAAACTATATGCTTAAAAAACATCTCCAGCATCCAAATTTCCCACTACTAACCAGGATTGAATAACTCATTAACTACTTCAAAAAATAAATTCCATTCTAGAACATCAAAATAACTACAAGCAGATCCTCATTCATGTATTAGCGGATAAAACGCTTACCAACGGGGTTGGCAGCAACCAATTTAACACCTATACCTCTCACAGCCTCAATGAGCACTGCAGCTGAGTTAGTAGGTGGCAATCTCTGCAACGAAACTACAGAACGAAGCAACTCTGCTGTTAGCCGCGAAGTTGCTTGTGAACCTTCAACCTTACTATCATTCAAAAACAGAAAAGCAGATAACCATATTAGCCAATCAAATCAAACAAGTGATACTTCCAGATAATTCCTATAACTGCAGTACTAACCGTTTGCTGAGCTTTGCAACAAAATCATTCACAAGTCTCTCAATATCCGGCATTTTCCAACTCAATAAATCACCAGAACAACTCTTATAGATTAGAAAAACACCCCCCTTTTGCACAAAATGACAATAACCTGGAAAAAAGAACAAATTTTTAACATGTTCACTTACATTCTTGATTCTTAAAAAAAAAACAGAAAAAGAAGCAATCTTGAATATATTAGTTAAAATCTGAAACCAACCACAATTTACTGCTTCAATATACTAACCATTAACCACAAAAAAAAAAAAAAAGAACAACAAGAACAAACAACCCCAAATTGAAGGAGAAGAAAAGCTGTAATCTTTTCTCTCTTTTTTATTTAAAAAAAAAAATTATTTGTTAATTTCTACCATTTTTTGAATACATGGAGAGGTATGAATTAAAAGGGATTTACAGAAGATAGAATTTTGTATTAGTAATTTTACCTTTTGATAACAGAGATTTTGTTTGCAATGAAAATGGGAACTCCACAGTCCTAGAAATGTAAAGGGTTTAAAAGGGGTTTTAGGGCTCTAACCTTTTTTTTTTTACTTTTATAATCACGGTATCTCGTGTGATCGTCTACGTCTACGAGCAATACAATTAATTTTATCTGTTAATATAATTATCACGTAATTCTATTTATTAAAGTATGGAAAGAAATTATTTGATGTTTATTAGACGTGAGATTTCATATTTCTTAACTCACTTTATACGTATTTTTTTTTCTTATAAGGATTATAATAAAACTCACATTTGAGTTATTATTATTATTTGGTGAATTTTATCCTCTAGATATTAATTGTTCTTTTCTCATTTCTGAACTTCATTATCTATGCATTAAAACTTAATTCAGGTTGAAAAAGTTGAAAAGAGAACAAAATGATACTAATTAGATATGAAATTCGTAGATTATTCAAATATAATTTTGGCTATTATCTCTTTCTTTTGATTATTTTCGAGCCAATTCAAATGAAATATTTATTAAGTTATCTTTTTTTAGAAAATGAATTTTGGATATTATACATCGAGTTAAAAATAATCATAAAATATTATTGAATCTCTTTGTCTTTGGTAGTAGAACTTTTATTGTGCAATGCCAAACGCCAATGGTGACTCAAAAATTAGATTTTGCGGTTGAGAATTTGAATTATAGGTGTTATATTTTTTTTACTTTTTTAAAAAAGAAATATCAAAATTGTGTTAAGAAAATTCAACAATTTATACAGATTTTATTAAAAGATACTCTATGTTCATAGTGTATATTATTAGCTATTTTTTGCTATATAATATAGTTTATGTTCATTTTTGCCTCATGTTTAATTTCTTGCACATTAAATATTGTATATTTCAGTTTCATAAATTTGATGGATATTGTTAATTAGGGTCTTTATAAAGGAAAATAATATTACATAGTATCCATTTAATAATGAATAGAATTGATGTAGGAATTTCAGTTCATTACATGTAATATTAATGAATTACAATTCTGAAAATAGAATGATAATAATAACAATGCAGCAGCTTAATTTGGTGTTTAAGGATATTTAGTAACCTCCTCCAATTCCACCACCACCTCCTCCACCAAAACCACCTCCGATACCTGCACCTAAACTACCTCCTACACCAAATCCGCCTCCAAATCCACCACCGGCACCTCCTCCAATGCCACCGATTCCTCCTCCTCCGCCACCACCACCACCAAATCCGATGCCGCCACCTTTGCCAATTCCTCCTCCTACACCACCACCAACACCTCCGCCAATGCCACCACCAACTCCTCCTCCTCCTCCACCTCCACCGCCACCGCCACCTCCGATGCCACCACCAACTCCTCCTCCTGCACCACCACCAACACCTCCTCCGACGCCACCACCAACTCCTCCTCCACCACCACCGGCTCCTCCACCAATGCCAGCACCAACTCCTCCTCCTGCACCACCACCAATACCACCACCTTTGCCAATTCCTCCTCCTACACCACCACCGGCACCTCCGCCTACGCCACCTCCAATGCCTCCACCTTTGCCAATTCCACCTCCAGCACCACCCCCAACTCCTCCACCAATGCCGCCACCTTTGCCAATACCACCTCCTATGCCACCACCTTTACCAAAGCCGCCTCCAGCACCACCTCCGGCTCCTCCACCTATGCCACCACCTTTTCCAATACCTCCTCCTGCACCACCTCCAACTCCTCCACCGATGCCTCCTCCTATACCACCACCGGCTCCTCCACCAGCACCACCACCAATTCCTCCTCCTTTTCCACCTCCAGCTCCCCCACCAATACCACCTCCTGCACCACCACCCGTTCCACCTCCAATGCCACCACCTTTACCAACACCTCCACCTATTCCTCCCCCACCTCCTGCACCGCCCCTCCTCCTCCTCCTCCACCACCACCACCACCGGCACCTCCTCCGACGCCACCACCAACTCCTCCTCCACCACCACCACCACCACCGGCACCTCCACCAATGCCAGCACCAACTCCTCCTCCTGCACCACCACCGACACCTCCTCCGACGCCACCACCAACTCCTCCTCCACCACCACCGGCTCCTCCACCAATGCCAGCACCAACTCCTCCTCCTGCACCACCACCAATACCACCACCTTTGCCAATTCCTCCTCCTACACCACCACCGGCACCTCCGCCTACGCCACCTCCAATGCCTCCACCTTTGCCAATTCCACCTCCAGCACCACCCCCAACTCCTCCACCAATGCCGCCACCTTTGCCAATACCACCTCCTATGCCACCACCTTTACCAAAGCCGCCTCCAGCACCACCTCCGGCTCCTCCACCTATGCCACCACCTTTTCCAATACCTCCTCCTGCACCACCTCCAACTCCTCCACCGATGCCTCCTCCTATACCACCACCGGCTCCTCCACCAGCACCACCACCAATTCCTCCTCCTTTTCCACCTCCAGCTCCCCCACCAATACCACCTCCTGCACCACCACCCGTTCCACCTCCAATGCCACCACCTTTACCAACACCTCCACCTATTCCTCCCCCACCTCCTGCACCGCCACCAGCTCCTCCTCCGATGCCACCACCTTTACCAATGCCTCCACCTATTCCTCCCCCACCACCAGCTCCACCTCCAATGCCACCACCTATTCCGCCCCCACCTTCCTGCACCGCCACCAACTCCTCCTCCAATGCCACCACCTTTGCCAATGCCTCCACCTATTCCTCCTCCGCCTCCCGCACCACCCCCAATTCCTCCACCTATTCCACCCCCGCCTCCTGCACCACCCCCAATTCCACCACCTTTTCCAAACCCACCACCTATACCACCGCCACCATAACCACCTCCTCCGCCTCCACCATACCCTCCACCACCTGCACTGCCAGAACCTCCACCTGCACCAAAACCACCACCAAGTCCCCCTCCCTCACCAATAGTAAAAAACTTCTCATCCTCGAAATCTTTCACATTTCTAGCTAAAGCCACACTCCCCACAAGAACATAAAAACAAAATAATGCTAACACCCCTACCCTCATCACTCCCTCACTTATCATCTTCAAAGAGTAAAAATTTTGAATTGTATGTGACCCTATATTTATTTATTTTTCTGTTCTTCAAACAACTAATTTGAGCAAATGGCATCAAGATCCAAAGGGCATTATATACTTGCTAGAAAACTTGACATTTCTTGCTCTTGCATTGATTATATATTTTTGCATTAATTTGCTTCAACTACTACCCGTTTGCCACATTCAGAGTTGGGATTCATACATAATAATGAGAACCTGTTTTTTAATGACACTTTTATCTCTTCATCATAAGAAAACAATTTTCATCTTAATTTGAAACAAAACCATTTTGCTTTCAGACAACATGGTCAAATATTATTTCCTTGGTCCATACTCTAATTCAATGTTGAATTCAAAAAATTGTCTGTCCATAATTGAATTGAAGTAGTGTTTTCTTTCATTTTGCATTAAATGTTAGAATTTCTCAGTCAAATTGTTTAAGTTATACGCAACGTCAGTCAAATAAATTACTTACACAATCAAATTACTCGCTCAAAATAATTACTATTCAACATTTTTTTATAAATATTAATAGCTAGGTAATCCAATATAAATGCATAAGTAAATTCTGAATTTGATTTAGTATTTTATGGTCATTAGCATTGACCTTATTGTAATTTTAATTAAGTGAGCTTTTATATAATTTTAGTGAATTTTATTAAATTTATATTGCACCTAAAAATAGTGAATTCAAATGAATCAGCTACATTCACATTCGTGTGAACGGTGATTGACTTACTAGCACAAAAGTTAAAACTACATTAATTGTATAAAAAAGTTGTGTACATTATTAGTATATAGACATTAAAATTATTTAATTTGACAACTATTTTTTTAAAGTAATATTGTGTATGCCTAATGGGGGTATATTAATAAATTTATGTGATTTTGAGTTTGTTGGCGAAATAAAATTAATTTTGGGTTCTAAAATTGACAGCAGTAGTGGCTTTTGTTTAAAGCTTCATCAATTTGAATTATAACTTAAAATTTAATTTTTGATGGTTTTCAGCTAAGATGCTAATATATAGCTTCTTGATTTCTATTATTTATCTGTCTTCAATTATTTATCGTATTTTTTATATATATTTATTAAAAAAAATTATTATTTAAAAATAATTTTGCTAATTTTTCCTTTATTATGTATTAAGATATTAAGGATAAATAAAATTATTTTTTTTAAACTTTTGAAATGATAAATAATTCAAAATTATTATTTTTAAAAATTGTGATTGATAATTGAGACAGAAGGGGTAAAAATTAAGAACCAAAAGGTTCTTAAAAGCCTTCATAAAAGTTTTGAACTTCCCTTTTCATACCTAATTATTTATGTGTAATTAATTAATTACACCCAAAAGTTTTTTTCTATTATGCTACATTATTAATGTATTTAAGAAAAAAAATAGTAGTCAATTTGAATATATATTATTTACTTACTTCATTTTATATTAGTTATCGTCTTAGCTTTTTAACATTTAAAATGTAAAATGTATACAAGTATAATTTATTAAATTATCCTTATTTATTAGATTTATTTTTTAAATTAAGTAGTGTTAAAAAGAATTGAGTGCTTCTTTCATTTTAAGGGTATAGTTGGAAACAATTGTCAATTTAAATTTTGAATTTCTGAAATAATAATTATTTTGAGATAAATTTTTTAAATTAAAGCGATGTTTAAAATGAAACGAAATAGTTTTATCAACTAAAGCAACCATTAAAATGAAATGGATGGAAAGTTTATGAATACTAATACATATTTTATAACTAAGGCCTAACAAGTTTATAAAATATCAACTTTAGTTTATAACGTGCTTAATTAATTTGTAGGAAATTTTCAGGTTGTTTAAAAAATCATTTTGAGGGATTTAAAAATAATTAGACCGATTATCTTTAAAATGGTTGAATTCTTTTACACTTACTTATAATTTAATTGATTATAACCAATAAAAAACTCACTTCAAATTTTAGAAATTGAAAAATAATCACAAGACCAATTAAAAATTCATTTTGCTTCACTCTAACCCACTAAACTAGAAGCTTCTCTCCAAAACTCGAATGTTGTGGAAGAAGTTTCACTACTGTTTTCATCTCCAAAGCTAAGGCGAAAATAATCGAATTTTTCATCTCAAAACTCCAATCGGTGGAAGAAGTTTCATCTTAAAGCTCCGAAGCGAACCTCATGCTTCTCTAAGTGAATTTTTTCGAAGTAGAGTACTACAGATCCAGAAGATTTGCTTGTCAATCTACCAAAAAAGCGAGGTCAATCTATCAAATCACTGCTTTGGTATATATGTACAAATACATATATATGTTGGTAGATTGACAAGCAAATCTTCTGGATCTGCAGTACTCTACATTGAAAAAATTCGTCTGGAGAGAAACATAAGGTTCGCATGGGACCTTTGAGATGAAATTCTTCCATCGATAAGATCTTTGAGATGAAAAATTCGATTTGTTTTCGTCTTTAACTTTGGAGATGAAAACAGCAGTGAAATTTCTTTCATCTAGTTTAGTGGGTTAGCGTGAAGCAAAATAAATTTTTAATTGGTCTTATAATTATTTTCTAATTTCTAAAATTTTAAGTGAGTTTTAATTGGTTATAATCCAAACATTTATAAGTGAAAAAGAATTCAACCATTTAAAAGATAATTGGTCTAATCATTCTTAAATCTCTAAAAATAATTTTTAAATAACCTTTAATTTTCCTACAAATTAAAAAGGAATTTTAAATTTTCTTTTAGGTCCACGTAGCTAGGGATTTACCTAGAGATATTATTCCCGCGATATATTTTCCTAGGTAATATCGTGGGAACTCATTTTGCGCAAAATGAGCTAATTTTGTTGGCAATATATATCTCGCAGATAATATATTTTTATATTAAGAAACTTAAATTTTTTCCAAAAAAATCGACAAATATTACTTGTGACAATTTTTCTCAAATAATATCCTCATGTAGTTTGCACTTTTTTTAATAATGTAAGAAGTAATTGCACATAGTTATATATCAAAATTACCAAACTTAATTTATTTCTGGTTTATTTATTTATTTATTTGCTTCTTCTTTTTTTTGACCTTTTCCAGCAAACACACAGTGACTTTCTGGTGCTAAAATAAAGAGAATCACCAATTATTATTTTTCTTTTTGTGTACCAATTGGAGAGTTGCAAAAATGCTTTGCACTTTTTTTTATATTTTTCTTCACTTTTAATTTATTTCCAAGACAACCTGTATTTTTTAGTTTGTATATTAGAGATTAATATGGGTGAAAAGATCAGTCTATAAAAAAAAATTGAATCGATTGAGATTGAATAATTCATTTATTTATTAATTTAACTTCTTCAAATTTATTTAATACTAAAAAATTGAAATAATCGAATTAGTATTATATAACTTTATTTAAATATAAAAATTAATTTTTTATAAATTTATTGATGACGCCATCAGAAAAAAGTATTTTAACCCTATATAATTATAACCTTCTATTTTCAAACATTAATAGTTAATAAGCCCTATGAATAGTATTTTGCCATTGGGTGCGAATTAATTTAATATCGCAACTACTTAATTCCCCTTATTAATCAAACAGGTTCATTTTTCTTTTTTGTACAAAATGTACATAAATAGATGAAAAGTATATTAATTTATTTGAAAAAAATATGAAAAATTGAACCCACTGAATAAATTTAATATTTGGTGGCAGTAAATGATCACATGGCATGAAAAGATCACGTTAGTCATGAGCTCAGACTAAAATAATTGTATGGCATTGCTGTCTAGCGTCTACGGTAATTAACTTGTTCTCGAGTTCGAATTCTGATCATGAAATTATTTTTAATAAAAAGTATTTTATATACAAAAAATTAATATATATATTGATTAAATTTAAATTAATTCATTGATGGTGAGTTTTTAATCACACATAATAGAATATGTGCAATGGAAATAAAAATAAGCAAATTATATCCCTTTATTTCAAAATTTTAAAAAAATCAAATCGACCAGATTTCTTCGAGCTTGATTCGAACTTATAATCATAACAATCGATTATAACGTCATTACGTTACTCAAAAACAACAGAAATTTGATTTCATAACCATGACCAATATAAAATATATATATGAGCTAGTGCAAGTAGATAATATAATACTTATTTCGATTCATGTTATATATTTCTAAAAGTTTTTTTACATCTTTAAAAAAATATTTAATTATGCCAATTACGAGTGCATTGTCTAAATTACTCATTATTATCTATCTTTAAACACCACATATAATTAATACCCCACTAATTTGATTTAGAAAAAAAATGAACTATAAAAATAGTACGTACTTGAAAGGCAATATCTTACTGATTTTTTAATTAACTTGGGTAAATCTGAACTATTTAATAATTTTTCAATTATTGGGTAAATTTCGACTATTTAATAATTTTTGCAATTATAATGTAATATTTTAGCGGTGAGAAAACAAATATTTGTTTCAGATTTTTTTTTGTGTAGAACATGCGTACAACTGTTTGGCATATGATAATAAATACAATCTATTTTTATAGTTGATAAAAACTAATTTTAAAAAAATGGAGAAAATAAAAGGTAGTATTTACTTTTTTTTAAAAAAAATTAATCAAATGTAGCTCTTATCTAATTCATCACTACACCTTTTATAAAAAAAATAATTAATTTTCTGAGAAGGAACTTTTTCCAATAATAATTTAATCATAGGGTACTTTGGCTATATTTACTAATGTTTGCCATTAATTTTTTTTCCTAATTTATTTTCATCCTATATATTAATTTTTGTATTAGTAACGTATCTTGAATCTTTCAAAATAATCTTTATACTCTGCGAAGCTAAAATTTACATATATTTTATTCTTCGATCCTCAAATTTCACGTATAATATCAAACGAGATATATATTGTTTATTTTTTATGATGGGACGAATGTGATTTTAGTCAAGTTGGCTAGTG